GAGGATTTTTGCATCGATGTTCATCAGGGATATTGGTCTAAAATTCTCTTTTTTTGTGTTGTGTCTCTACCAGACTTTGGTATCAGGGTGATGCTGGCCTCATAAAATGAGTTAGGGAGGATTCCCTCTTTTTCTATTGATTGGAGTAGTTTCAGAAGGAATGGTACCAGCTCCTTGTACCTCTGGTAGAATTCGGCTGTGAATCCGTCTGGTCCTGAACTTTTTTGGTTGGTAGGCCATTAATTATTGCCACAATTTCAGAGTCTGTTATTGGTCTATTCAGGGATTCAACTTCTTCCTGGTTTAGTCTTGGGAGGGTGTACATGTCCAGGAATTTATCCATTTCTTCTAGATTTTCTAGTTTATTTGCGTAGAGGTGTTTATAGTATCCTCTGATGGTAGTTTGTATTTCTGTGGGATCGGTGGTGATATCCCCTTTATCATTTTTTGTTGCATCTATTTGGTTCTTCTCTCTTTTCTTCTTAGTCTTGCTACCAGTCTATCAATTTTGTTGATCTTGTCAAAAAACCAGCTCCTGGATTCATTGATTTTTTGAAGGGTTTTTTGTGTCTCTATCTCCTTCAGTTCTGCTCTGATCTTAGTTATTTCTTGCCTTCTGCCAGCTTTTGAACGTGTTTGCTCTTGCTTCTCTAATTCTTTTAATTGTGATGTTATGGTGTCAATTTTAGATCTTTCCTGCTTTCTCTTGTGGGCCTTTAGTGCTATAAATTTCCCTCTACACATTGCTTTAAATGTGTCCCAGAGATTCTGGTATGTTGTGTCTTTGCTCTCATTGGTTTCAAAGAACATCTTTCTGCCTTCATGTCGTTATATACCCAGTAGTCATTCAGGAGCAGGTTGTTCAGTTTCCATGTAGCTGAGCAGTTGTGAGTGAGTTTCTTAATCCTAAGTTCTAGTTTGATTGCACTGTGTCCGAGAGACAGTTTGTTATAATTTCTGTTCTTTTACATTTGGCTGAGGAGTGCTTTACTTCAAACTATGTGGTCAATTTTGGAATAGGTGCAATGTGGCGCTGAGAAGAATGTATATTCTGTTGATTTGGGGTGGAGAATTCTGTAGATGTCTGTTAGGTCTACTTGGTGCAGAGTTGAGTTCAATTCCTGGATATCCTTATTAACTTTCTGTCTCATTGATCTGTCTAATGTTGACAGTGGGTTGTTAAAAGTCTCCCATTATGAAGTCTAGTCTCTAAGGACTTACCAATAATTTTAAAATATTATTCCATTATTGAATTAAGTGCCTCAAAATATAAAATATATAGTGCAGTAGCTGAATCTTTGATTATTTGACCCCCTGTGTTATTCCATAGTTAATGGAGTGATTCTAGAGGCTTTAATAGTTTAATTATGATTTTTCATTTATCTTAATGTTTCTATAACTGTATTCAAGGTAATTTTGGTGCATATCTGTGCTTCACCAAATAATACCATGTCATTTTTAGTATTCCGGCATCTACCATGGTTTCTGGTGTTTAGAAAGCCAGGCTTGCAGTGAATATTTGTTAAATCCTTACATAGTGTTTATATAGAGATTTCTGTTTAGCTATATATGTTCACATCAGTGATTTGAACCCAGCTACATGAACAATGATT